CTGCTCGTTTCCTAGACACCAAAAATCATGACGTATCATCACGTATTGCCGAAAAAACTGCTAGGTGAATTTTTAAGCACTTGTGCTGTTTTTAAAGTTGAGATTCAACACAAAAACATGCAAAATGTGATTTTTACATAAAACTTTAATAAAATAAATCTTTTAGCATTCACTCAAGTTATCTTTGTCTGTTATTAAAATTTGTTTGATTATCTAAAACATTTATGTGTGACATAAATCAATGACAAAACAGAAATGTGTAAGCGGGACAGTATTTTCTTCACAGCATTGTATGTTTCTACTCAGTGGAAAATGCAAATTATATTGCACACATAAACTGAAAACACAAAGTGCAACTGCAGCACTTTAAAAGCTTACTCTAATCACAGAGACAGAGAACATACAGTCTCCCTTCCAGACGGGAACTTTACTAAGACCCTCTAATCTACATTATTAACATTCCTCAACCTGCTCTGTGTATTTTGCAACAGCTTCTGTAGGGAAGAGCGCTTGAATCTGACCCAAATATCCAGTCATAAATAGTAACTTTTGACATGTGACCAACCTTTTGGGTCAAACCACCAACTCAGAGAGGGTTTTTGTGATGGGAAGAAGAACAAAATGGACACAATGACGACACCAGTGACAGCGTCTGTGACATACCTGCAGAAAACGCAAGAAACAAAAATAAAAAAGACTAAAAGCAATTAGTAGGCTTTTCTAAACAATGATACCTTTTCTAAAATTTTAAAGATGATGGGAAAGGTCTCCATTTCTTACCCTTTTTTGAAAAACACAGACCAGCCAGTAACAAATTTGGGATCTCTTGTGAACAGAAGAACAGCGAATAAAATAAAAAAGAAAGAGATGGCCCCTTCTGCAAAGCTGGAATAAAAAGTGAGTAAAAGGTACAGTAACAGAAATAGTACATATTTGTATGAAATTAAAAGAAAACTCAAGAGTCCTCACTTCATGGGTCCCAGTTTTCTGTAATCTTCTTTAATTAGCGCTTTGGCTCTGGCTTCTGCCTGGGCTCTGTGGTCGTGTTTTGTGAAACATAACCTGGATTTTAAAAAATAAGTGTGACATTAGACTGTTATGTTTCACTACAGCAAAATCACACAATATTCCAACCAAACATCACAATATAATTTTATATTACCTTGTATTCAGTCCGCCGTAGAGAAAAGAGATCCAAATCCACCCCAAAAACAGAAAGAGAAGCATAAGGGGGAAAGCAAAGGCAAACCAAGAGCCAAAGTTGATAAGATCGCAGTCTGGGAAGTAGCTGTAAAGAACAAGAGGCTCACTGGTAAATTGAGTCATTTCTAATAAGAAAATCTGTTTTTTTAACCTGAATTTACCTTTTGAGCTGTCCAATCAGGATGAGGTTTGGTGCTGTGCCTGTCAGCGTTGCTGTACCTCCAATACTGGCAGCATAGGGAATACAGATCAAGAATCCTTTCCACACTTTCAGCTGATACTCTGACTCTGACTGGATCTCCTCAGCCGTCCTCATGTCTGCAGGCTCCACAGCTTCCATCCTTATTGAAGTTTAAAGACACGAATCAACATTTTACGGAAACACTACACTACTATTGACATGTAAGTTCCTTTATAAAATGAAGATATCAAAACAAATTTATCTCTTTTTTTTTAAACGTAAAATGTAAGTTAGCTCGGAGACAAGCTAACCTTCTCCAAGCTAACCGTCTGGTGACGGTTAGCTTGGAGAAGGTTAGTTAGTTAGCTAACTGTTTCTTGTTATTTTCTGTTTAGCTAAGCTAACCATTACTCTCAGTTCTTATTCTACACCGCGTTAAGACGAGCTAATTCTATTTTTTGCTAAGCTTATGAAAGCTATGTATTTTGACCATTGATGTTTAGCTAAGACCATTATTGTTACCTGTTCTCATGTTTAAGCTAAGTTAAGTTAAGCTAAGTGTCGTCTTGTTATGACTTTATTTCTAGATAAACTAATTGCATCTTTCTTCTACCTTTCAACACCCAGTTCAAGAAAAAAACTTGAACTGCCAAATGGAACAGTGGAAAAATAAAATAGACTAAAATACCTGTTTAGTGTTCTCAAACCAGATAAGCTCAGATAACTATCCTTGGTTTTTAATCGAAGTTAAGAAAATATACGATAAGCAAACAGTTTTTTGTCCATTTATTTTTAAAGCAATTATTTTGAAAGCTAAGGTAAAATAACTGAGTTTCCATCCATATATCTATTATCTGAATCCACTTCTCAGTTGTGGGGTGGCTGGTTCCTATCTTAAAACTGTGTTTCATAAAATAGTCTAACCTTTATCTACAAAATAGTCAATGTTTAGACTATTTTAAGAAAAGTTTCACTATCTATCATGCTTATCTCAATTTCATGCCAAGTTAAGACAAGATAAACTGATCTGAGTTTTATGATAAGCTAAATTGTATTAAGAAATTTGAGTTAGGAAAACAGTTCATCCGTTTTCATTATCATTTTAATTCTGTTTATTTTATTTTTATTCCCTGAATTAAGATAAGTTAAGCTAAGTGACTTTCTATTTTTTGTTTTCGAACTTTGTTCAGAATAACTAACAAAGGTTGATTATTTTTCCACTGTTCCATTTGGCAGAATAAAAATAATCTACGTGTTTTCCACTTTTTCAGTCCAGGTTCCATGATGAGAACAGCTAATCTAAACCATTGTTTAAAAAAAAATTGCTTTCTCTCAATTTTTATCCAAATCTAAGCTTGTTTGGGTTATTGCTAAGCTAGAATAGGCTAAAATAAGCTAAGCCAAACTAAGCTAAGCTAAGTGTTTCCCGGCTGCAGCTTATTGATGTATTCTATTTTTCTCAGAAGTAAACAAGTTTTGATATGGAAACATCTCTAGTAATCCTCCTGGTTTCAAATTGAAAAAGAAAAGGGATTGCTTCAGTCTAAAAACTCCATCTTTAGGGACTTTAACTTAAGCTGCAGGTGATATTTTGCAACATAAATTCTGACTTATGTGATGAAATGTGAAACACCAAACGAGCTACAACTAGGATGTGTTAAAGATTCCCTGAATTCCATCTAAGTTCAGGAATTCCTCTAAGAAATCACTACCAAAATGATCTCTCTCTGCTCTTTTACCCATCCATTGACAGCACATGTTTTTCAGAAGGCTCTGATGGCAGCGAATGGAGCTTCAGTGAAGTTTGACCTGCAAGAAATTAAATTGAGACAAAGTTTTGGTTACATAGAATCCAAAAGATATAAATATAAGTTAAATTATTTTCTGTTTTAGAAAGCTGCACTTTAAATTAATTTAATATGACAGCCACATGAGATAAGAACAATAATCGATTGCTATTTGATGATTGACTAACCCTACTTCCCAGGACTCCGTGTATTTTAAACTGCACAAAGTTCATACATTAGATTCCATATTATAGAGTTAAACAGGACAATGTACATTATATCTGCATTTTTTTGTGTTATAGTAAATGAACAATTCTTGAATTAAATACTTCGTAATGATTTGTCCAAAGACTCTCTACTTCATATTTTCCACCAGCTTCTCTGGGAAATATTTACCCCCTCAACAAATAAATGTGCAACTATATTTCCAAACTAGTCACTGATTATGTCAGTCAGTGTATAGTGTTAGAATTCAGGGCTTATTCTGAGATTTTCCAAGAGATAATGCGATGGGACTGCATCATAGGAAAGTCTGAAATGATCATTAAAGCAGAAAAAATTTAATCTCTCTGACGTAATCAAAACAGATCTTTTGTTTAGGTTGTTTTGATGGAAGCCTTCTTGATTTCCTGTTAAAACCACGGTGCCAACATTACACTGGACCATTTATTGCAGCACTGTCACGATCCTCTGGGGATTTGCACTTTTGCTTCAGGGTCTCCAGGTCCCCAAACAGGCTCTCCAGGATGGCGTTTGCAATGGGAAGCATCATGGCCGTTGTGGCGGTGTTGCTGAGCCACATGGAGAGGAAGGATGATGTCATCATCATTCCCAAGATGAGCCTGAGGAGATACAATGAATCCACTTTAATCCTTGAAAGGATCTTTGTGACAGCTTTAAACGTGACTTATTATCCTTCCTTGAACAGATTAGGATAGGTTTATGAACTACACCAAACATGTTCATTACATTTTTTTCCACAAAATCATTTTTAGATATTGAGAGTTTAGTCTGCTAAATGGTCTCCTTTCAGAATGAGCTGCTTTTGGGCTACTGTCACTTTCAATCCAAATGAGCTGATGCTGGCCATGCCTCCTCCAATTTAAACACATGAAAATAGCTGCAAACAGATGCACAATTATACAACCTTTCATCTTTGATAAACAGAAGTGGAGCCTCCTGCACGACGAACAAGAATACCATAAGTGATTTTTGAATAGTAAATCAACAAAAAAAATATGTCTTTTCCAGCAGCCATTGTACAGCAGTAAAACCCTTTAAGCTGACCAAATGTGTTGAGCTTTGGTGGAGTTTCTAGGGAATGGGAGAGTGCCTGTTGATTTGTGACATTACATTCAGAAGGTTTTGGAAGCGGCTCATTTTATTCCAAAAAAACAACTGAGTGTTTTTAAGCACTTGGCCTGTTTTTAGAAGCAGTAGAAACCCAAATCGATTTACAAAAATGTAGCAAAATGTGAATTTATAGAGTCGATCGCCTTTAAATCTAATTCTTCTCCACCTTGAATTGGATTTGGTTTGGGTAGAAGTAGATCAGGATGATTGTGTATGATTAGTTTCACAAACATCAGAATAACAAATTCTCAATCAAAACTTTCGCTCTCACCAAGCAGGTTTCACTCCGACAATACTAAGGACCTTCAGGGCTATCCTACGGTGCAGGCCCCACTCCTCAATCGACGACGCCATCACAAGACCGCTGAGGAAGAGGAAGTTGGTCTCGATGAAGTACTGGGGGCAGACTGTTTTGGCCGGGAGAATCCCCAGCGTCGGGAAGAGGCAGACTGGAAGCATCGCTGTGACCGCCAGAGGCAAGGCCTCTGTGCACCAAAACGTAGCCATCAGTATCACAACGTAAAGGCATTTTCCCTCCTGAAAGAGGAGCAACACACACCTTAAGGTCAAAACAACACACAGTCAAATAATCCATGCTTTTCTACCATTTTGTATGTTTTTGAGTCTAAAAGAGAAGAAGCAGGATAAATTATGAAAAACTCTGGACACCAAAATGTGTTTTATTGAGTTTCAAGCTGTGGATAATTTTTTTTAATAAGTAAATAACTAGTTTAATGGTAACAAATGTATAATGCACTAAAAGCATGTTCAAAAACACTGAAAACATAGAAAAACATTGAGTTAATTTGTTACACGTAATTAAGTTAAGTTGGTCAAACTTAATTTATTTATGTTTGTTTAACATGACAACTTAATAAGCATAATATATTTAATTAAATAAACTTAATATCATCACTTGTAACAAACTAAGTTTATTTTCAGTTTGATCAGCTGTTTTCTTGGATCCAAACATTTCAATCTGAGATGGACTATTTTCATTTTTATGTAATTTAATGTTCTTCTGCATAAAAAATTATGTTAACCAAAATATTTCATTAACATATTACATTAACAAAAACAACATAAGAATGAGTCAATTTTCAGTTTTAATCAGATGAAATCTGATTAACAAATGACTCCGTGTTTTCTAGCTAATTGAATAAAATCAGACACAAACATGTGATCAGTACTTACCTTTTCTGGCAGAGTAAAAAGTAAAGGCAGGAACACGAGTGGCGTGAGGAAGAGAAGCAGCTGCTTGTGGACGCACCACAGCTTCTTGGACACCACAGATATTTTCATTCCCTCACTGGGTTTCCTGCTCTGTTTAGGGAAATAAAGTGGCTGGGAAAAGCTTGAGAGGGATCACTATGAAGCCCTCGGCTGAACGCAGGAGAAGATTAACCACACGCTCTGCTACAGGTTAACTCCTCCTGTGGTGGTGTTTCATAGGACAGTCCATTTTCTGTCAGGCTTCCAAATGACCAGCTTCTCCCACAAGTCTGCAAGTTCATGCACTAAAAAGCTTCAGCAGGAAATGCCTGAGAAATCTAAATGTTGTTAATGACCTAGTAAATAAAGACTGTAATACAGGGTAGTGAGAATGCGCTATCGAATAGGATTATGCAACTTTTATGGAGAAAATGTGAAGATCTAGCTGTTAGAAAACAAATAAGAAAAGGAAAGAAAGTTATAGCTTATCATGTTTTCTTTGTTTTATGTAGATAATTCAGATTTTGAAGCCACTGGACGTCACAGCTGAGCAGCAGCAACTCAGACCTGATGATGAAACTTGATTTAAACTACTTAGTGTTGTTTTCCAGGCTCATTGCTCCATTTTCTCACACAATCATGTAATTTTGTTAACTTCAGTTGTTAAGAAAATGTTTTTATATATATGAAATATGACTTAAAAGAAATTTTACTGTGTAGTTTAATTCTTTGAAATTCGTCTCTGTCTCTTTAAGAAGCTCCTGCTCTTTCTGAAACTGAAGTCCTCACAACATGGCTCCTTTGTTAACCCTTTAACATTTTTACCCCCACTGCACTGAGAAGTGGCTCATATAATGAGCTCTGCATGTGAACAGTTCCACCAGGTGTTTGCTAATTGATGCTGGCTAGTCTGAAGGAGCAGAGTGGGGGATGGCTGCTCTGAGAGGGGGAAACGTGGAAACTTTAAAACTGCCGTTTCGGTGGGTTTCCCTCCTCGTCTGTTGGTATTTGGTTCTTCATAAGTGAAGTTCAGCTTTGTGTAAATTTGCTCAACTGTTTCCATAACAAATCAATCTCATATATGCTCCTTTGCATAAACAGCAGGTTTCTGCACAGACCGAGTTGAGATCTTAAATGAATCATGACCCAAGTTTCCAGTGTGGGTAGTGCCTTCTTCAGCTATTTGCCATTTAAATTTGAGGTGTTTTGTTTACCAGTAAGTGGATGTATATACATATTATGACATATTTGCGAGAAATAAATCACAGGAAACTGATTCATTCGAATCTTTGTTATTGTACCTTGTTTGCAATGGAAACCAAAGTCAAATTCCTTTTTTAAACCAAAAACAATGATGAAAAAAATTAGATTTTGATTCTTTATTTGAATGCTCTCCAGTAGCAGTCCAGTGCAACAAAACTGAAGAGACCTCTGGCTGAAGACTGACGCTATTTGATAGTCTTATATCTGTCATACAAGCTATCCGCTCAATTTCCAGGCAGCAGAGTCAAGATTTCCTGGTTGACACCGTAAGTTGTAGTTAAACATTGCTAATCCACCTCATTTGCTTTTGCTGCTCCTCTTTAAACACCTGTCTACTCTTTAGTCCTGCCCTGCATCCATAAATGACCTCTCTTGACCTCTTTTAAAATTTGGCGTCAAAGTTCACATTTCATTTGAGCTTTTGAGATGGTAACTAATTAGCTGGAGGAGTAAAAAAAATAAGAGCAAAGATCCTTCCAGCTGCACAGCATCCAAAACAAGAGGGGATAATTATGTAAATCTGCAACACCTCAACCAATAAAAACATAAACAAAAAGAACAAATCAGAAATAATGTGACAGAGCTGCTTTCTGATCTTACACCATTTTTATTGTGGTTCTTATCAGATGTAAACAAACCTCTTCAGAAAAAAAAACAAGTTAACATATCTTTACCATACAATATTTTACAGTGGTTCAAATTTAAATGTAAGATTTAAAGAGATCGGCAAGTTTTAATGATAAAGATGCAAACAATCTTCATTGTATAATCGTTTTAATATAGTTGCAAAAAATATTATGAGGGCTTTTTTTTCTTCTTGCTTGTGTTTGTTCAGAAATACAATTTAGTTAAGATAATGTTTATAACAGAAACAAATCCTACTTAAGGTCCCATATATACTTTGTCCACCCCTGGAACTAAAACGTAGTCAAAGTTAATCGTTATGTAGAAGAAATGCACGGATTAGCCATCAGGTGGCGCTCTTATCACATTTTCCACTGTGTGGTCTTGAAGCTGTGTTTACAGCGGTGACCTTAAAAGCAGGAGAGCTTTTCCCCTCTGACTCAGTGGCAGGTTTCTTTTACTCATGCAAGCAGCAGCAGTGACTGTATCACCTGAGCAGCACATTTTCCTCTAAACCAGTGGGCTTTTCTAAAGAAATTCTGAGATTTTTTACTACGAGGGTCTCTGATTTGTCTTTAGAAAGGTGCAGGGTTTTCTTTCTTTGAAAATATGTCAGGTTTAATGGCATTTTTAAATTATATTGATGTCTTTAAACTAAATAAGTCTCAGTTTCAAATATTAAAGCAGTGACAAGATTCTGGGTGTTTAAGAAAAATAAGATTAATTTTGCTTATCATACAAAAGCCTATTTTCTTTCAGGTTTAATGAGGTGAAAACACACAAACGAGCTGTTAGTACTATGCAACTACTTTTATACTAAAGAATAAGAAATTAACTTTTGATAAACTTTGATCAAACATCTTTTTGGCCACTCTGTTGAGCTTAAAGGAAAACAGCCTGTCATGTTAAACAGCTGCTTATTATGCAAAATTCACATTTTGCACATTTTTATGCTTCCATTTGTGTCTCTTTGAATAATAAAATAATCTTTTTATTCATTAAGCTTCTTGATGTGGGACCCGAGTCCGAATTTTGTACCACTAACAAGCAAATGCGAGCTGGTATGACAACTGAAAAATCCTTGAATCCTTGAATGCGCTTTGAAAAATGAGCCGTTAAAAAAAAAATCGACGGGCACTGCGCTGTTACCTAGCAACCCCAGCCTAGCCTATCCCGTCACCTAGCAACCCGAGCCTAGCCTTCCTAGTCATCTAGCAAGCTGAGCTCCTGCACTTTTGGTAAGCTGCTGGTCTAGAATCAGTTCTTCTAAAATGGAAAAGTTTTGTGTGCTGCACTATTTGACTTGTGCTTTATCGTACGACATTCTTCTTTTCTTGTTGTGTTTACCGCTAGCCTCCTGGAAGCTTCATGCTAACGTCCCATACTCCATGTTTAGCCATAGGCAGCGCTGTTTTTTATATATGCATATATAAATTTTAGCGCCCCTTACAGGTCTGAGGGAGTAAAAACAGCACTTTGGGTTCACTGTTTTTTGTGTGGATGAAAATATTTCTGGACCATACCAGCTTGATTATTTCAATGGCTTTCTTGAATTTCCAAGTCTGCAGAGTAATATGGGAGACAGTTTGACTCTTTATAACAGCCATACTTCTTCCAAATTTAAGATTTCAGAGGCATGAAGACTGGTATTTCAAAGATTCGTGGACTAAAACATTAAATGCATGTAAAAGGTGAAAAATCAGAAACAAAATGTTGAATATATGATGGAAATTTTATTTACATTTTACACATATTTAATAAAATTATTAATGTATGTATAAAAAAATGGTTTCTGTTCTGATACTTCTCATTCTGTTGAGCCAGTTCCTGTTGACCTTCTTTTATAACCATAAAAAAAAAATCTAATAGTGGTTGCACACAGTGACATACTTTTTCAAGAAAGGAACATGAAGAACAAACACAACCCAATTAGTATTTAAAAAAGAAGCAAACAAATAGGAGAAATGCATCTTTACAAATATTTTCTTTGCTGTTTCCATGGGAATTCTTCTGTTAGCCACGCAATATGTTCTCCTGATGTCTCGAAGACACGACCCGAATTGTCTGAAATAGTGAGAAAAAAGAAAGTGCAAATCTCATCAGTTTGGTTATGCAAACTGAGAACAAGGCCACCCCCCAAACCCCCAAACATATAGCATTAAAAACCCTGCAGGAGAGCAGCCGCAGCAAGAGGAAATGGTGTCTCTCAGAAGGAGCGCGACCGCCTACACGACTTAACACAACTGCAGGTGCCGTCTCTCTCTTACATTAAGGTTAAGGTGTTAGGAAAACAATTTTATATGAACTCTACATTACCTGTGTAATAGAAAATATGCAGTTATAACTCATTTTTCACTTCTCTTGCTGTATTTTAATGCATTTCCCCTGTAGTCAACAAATTTTCTCAATTTTTAGGATGTATTTGACACTAAAACACACATTTTGGAAAAGTAGGAGTTAAAGAAAAATTCTGATTCTTTAGAAATTATCTTTACATCCCACAAGATTTGCAAGTCTCCTGTGGGATGTATTATCTACCGCAAAGGTTTCATCTCTAAACCAAGAGTTGAGTTTTTTTTCTCCTCCACAGCATTTTTTCCTGAGCCACATTAATCACTGCATCTCCTTGCACTCCCATGCACTCCCCTGCTGCATGACTATGGACATTAGCATAAAACTCCCTTCCTGTATCTATGACTACATTTGTGTGTAGGCAACAAGTCAGAACTATGCATACCCTTCATGTGACTCAGAGCTGCTTCATAAATCGGATTGAGACACAAAACACAGTTTCCATTCCCATGACATCAAGCAGGAATGGATGAAGACGCTCTTTATCATTTGTAATGTGTTTAAAAGTGTTAGAGACAATAGTGACAGATGAGGAGCAGTTTCACGTCATGTGGAACTGACTAGTGAGAAAAAGTGAAATGAGTTCTTTTGTTTCCTCACATCTGGAATCAGAGAACCAGAAAGTTTTTTTTTCAAACCTTGTCGAAAAAAGGTTTGAAAAAAACCTTTTTTTTAAAAAAAAAAAAAAATATTTGTAAAAATAAATATAATCTTTAGTTTTACAAAAGATGATATTAATAGCTCTGAGAAAACCAAGAGCCCACTGCACTGAGCCACTGAACCCCATTGAAAACCTGGTTATTCCACCAAATACTGACTCCTGAACTCTTCCTGAGTTAAAACATTATTTTTGCTGTTTCTAAATTAACATGAACTTGTTTTCTTTGCGTTATTTGAGGTCTGAAAGTGTAAATGCCCTGAAGAAGGGGATAATTGTAATAAAAGAGACGGTGCTTCTGCTCCAGCGATTATTATTATCATCTAAGTTAGCTTACAAACACACACAACGATATCAACGTTTAAACAGCAGTATGTTAGCAACGGCGCTAACAATGGAATCTGTTAACATTCGGAGGGTCAAAAAAAAACTCAATCTTTCTGGAAGTTAAAAGATTGTGAGTGGCGTGGCGAGAGCATTACACCTTTTCGATGTGTGAAGATCGTCTTCATGTAAATATGTTAACAGAAACTAAACAAAAATTCTATTTTTGTTGGATCACTGTCATGTAAATAGGGCCTTAGAGACCACTGATCTGTTACGTCACCTACACGTATGAATACTGAGAATAACTGAGGCCCTGGGGTTTGTGGGTTTGGTCTCTAATCATCTGCCACATCCTCTGCAAAAAAATAAAATAATCTTCACAAGTTGCTCTTTGAAAAACAAAAACTGTTAAACATGCAACTGTGTTGCTCTGCTGTAGTGTACGCCCACAGGTTTTAACTTCTAAGGTCAAATGTAAGGTCCTGGTAAGATGGAAATGAAGCAGGATT